GCGCCCCCCCCTCCATCGAAGCCATTCCCCCACCGCGTTCTCCCGGCTGTGCGCTACGCCCCCCGCCACCCCCTGCAGCCGTGGCTGGCAGCAACAGACCATCCCGACCCTGCGCCTGGACAGGGCAGAGTCCAGCGAGAAGCTCAACAGCAGCCTCCCATCCGTGCACTGCAGCTCTCGGTACACCGACAGCACCAGCTGCAGCAGCCCCCGGAGGGCCCGGCCGGTCTCTCTCACCGTCCCCAGCCAGAGCGGAGGGAGCAGCAGGCAGCTCCACGGCAGCGCTAGCAGCCTGGTGGAAGCGGTAAGGCTGCAGGGCCGTCAAGGGCTCGAGGAGGGTCAAGGCCAGCTAGGGATGCAGCCCTCAGAGCAGCAGGGCAACACGTTGCTTCCCACAGTGCCGAGGGTAGGAGAGCCCAGCTCCAAGAGGGGGTTAGCAGCACGAATGGGAACGTACGCCAGTGAAGCGGGATGGGGTGGGGTGCAATAGGGTTGGTGGTGCAGAGCACTAACTAACATGTGTCTCTGGTTTCCTACCTGCTTTTGAAGGTCTTGATCTCAGAAGGACTGATGCAGTTTGCTCAAGATCCAAAGTTCATTGAGGTCACAACCCAGGAGCTCGCGGACGCCTGTGACATGACAATAGAAGAGATGGAAAATGCAGCAGACAACATTCTCAATGGTAACAGCAAGCAGAGCCCCAATGGCAACCTCTTGCCTTTTGTTAACTGCAGGGACCCAGGGCAGGACAGTGCAGGAGAGGAAGAGGAAGAGGTGCAGAACCCGGATTGTAGAAAAAGTCAGGAGGAGCTCAAGGACAGCAGGATTTATATCAGCAGCCTGTAGTTGCCAGGGCTGGAAGCGATGCTGGTTTTTTATTTGTTTCAATGTTCCTAATGGGTTTGTTTCAGAAGTGCCTCACTGTTCTCGTGACCTGGAGTAACCGGAACAGCGTTCTTCATTCATTTCTGTTGGGACGAGTCGCAGAGTTGGGTGGTGTAAGAAAGCTTTTCAGGAGCGGATATAACCCCAGCACGTGTCCATGAAGGAAGAGTGAGGAGGAGGAGGAGGAGGAGGAAGAGGAGAGCCAGCTCCCTCTTTTTTTCAGTCCCTGCACAAGGAACGACGACTGCCTCCAGAGCACGAAGGAGAACCTCAGCTTCCTGTGGGTGGCCCTAGCCAAAAGGACCCTGCATTAAACGGGTGTCTTTCAACTTTGCTTGTAAAAATCATTTTGCACATATTCTGTATGAGCCTCACTGTCTCCATAAAGCCAAGGCCCTTTGATTCAGAAGGAGAGGAGGACTTCTGCTGTGGATTCCCATACCACGAAGGGGAGGAGGAAGCAGGAGAAGCCCAAGGGCACCCGAGGGCCAGGGGTGGCAACATTGCCCAGCCCTGCCAAGACTCCTAGGCAGCGGTCTCTGCCACAAGGCCACGGGCAGCGCCAGGCAGGGAGGCGCATGGAGCAGGCTCTGCGGTGGGGCCGGGCTGCCCTGCCCCGCGCTGGCTGGGCTGCCGGGGGGCTCGTGGAGCTCTCTCCTTGGTTTGCAGTTTGGTATTTTCTTGAAAGCATGTTGCAGTTTTTATTTTGACTATTTTATTATTATTATTATTATTATTATTATTTTCTTGGAGGGAGAAGGGAGTGTTTACAACGTTTTGTAACCACCTACCTTTTTGTTTGGGTTTATTTTCACCTTTGCAAATGTTAAATTGGTTTGATCATGTTGTATTATTTAAACTGGGGGGGGGGGGTTCTCCATTGAAATTTGGTAGAAGTATAACGATAGAAGAGTTTTACCAACCATTATGTACACCAAGAATTTGTAATTTGATTTGCTAGCAGTTGAAACCTTCTTTTTTTGTTGTTGTTTTATAATTTAAAGATAGTAGGCAATGCACTTGATATAGTCTTGCACATTTGAGTGATTGATTTGGGTTCTTTTTAGTGCTAAGTATATCTGTGAGTGTGGGAGCAATACGGAGCGAGCGTGCGTGCGTGTGTGTGTAAGTGTGTGCAGCTCTCCTTGTCCTGGCTTGAGCTGCAGGAGATCTGTGTCTGGGGCCATTTGAATGCAAAAACAAACCACTGTCTCTGCTTCTGAAAGGGGGAATCAGTAACTCTTTGCATTTTCTGTTCCACAAGATATGCAAAAACAATGCAATAATATTAATTTTAAAATACAATTGTAAGTTGTGTTGGCATTAAAACTGTATAGGAAAAAAAAATAATTGTGGGGTGGGGGGGAAACAAAAAACAACCAGAAGGCGTTACGCTTCAATATATTCCGTGTGATGTTTTATTGCATTGATAATGTTTCTGTTGAAGAAACCGTTATACTTGAATTCAGGTCAGTTTCAGTATTTTTCAAATATTTTTTTAAAATGAATTGCAATTGTGCCAAGCAAAGATAATTAATTGAATTAAGTTTGTTAAAAAAGAAAAAGAAAAAAAGAATCACTTACGAGCGTGCGTGCGTGTGTGTGTAAGTGTGTGCAGCTCTCCTTGTCCTGGCTTGAGCTGCAGGAGATCTGTGTCTGGGGCCATTTGAATGCAAAAACAAACCACTGTCTCTGCTTCTGAAAGGGGGAATCAGTAACTCTTTGCATTTTCTGTTCCACAAGATATGCAAAAACAATGCAATAATATTAATTTTAAAATACAATTGTAAGTTGTGTTGGCATTAAAACTGTATAGGAAAAAAAAATAATTGTGGGGTGGGGGGGAAACAAAAAACAACCAGAAGGCGTTACGCTTCAATATATTCCGTGTGATGTTTTATTGCATTGATAATGTTTCTGTTGAAGAAACCGTTATACTTGAATTCAGGTCAGTTTCAGTATTTTTCAAATATTTTTTTAAAATGAATTGCAATTGTGCCAAGCAAAGATAATTAATTGAATTAAGTTTGTTAAAAAAGAAAAAGAAAAAAAGAATCACTTCTTGTATATTTTGCTGCATGTCAAGTGAATCATTTCGTATTTGGAATGTGCCAAGCTTTACCTTTGAACTTTTAAGTGCTTTTCTACATGTGGTTGGGGAAAGGGGTACTATTTTTTTCCTTTTTTAATTTGTACAATGAACAAAGTGTACCTGGTGTAAGTAACTATTCTGCAATCCACTGACAGGTTGAACGTTACTGATTTTGCATATCTTGTGTTCATTTTCCTTCTTCCTCACTCCCTTTGAACATGCACGATAACTTTATTGGTAGAGAATCTTTCTTCCCAAGACCGGGGCATATTATCCAGGCTTTGTCCTCTTTCCTTTTGCTCAGTTTCTGTAAAGGTCTCATCACACTCAAGGGTGGCAGGAGCCCCAAGCCCATTTGGCTTATCCATCCTACGTACTCAGCTGGCACCAGCAATTCAAGGAGCAGGGAAATAAAAATCTGCTTTTACATTATTTTATTAAATAGCTGACCCTAACTGATTCTGACAGGATCCCAGGATAGGCAAATGCAAGAGGCAGAGTCATTAGCAAAGCAGAATTATCTAATTCTAGTCTGGACTGAAAGCAGTGGGTAAGTGAGGGAGAGAGCTCTGAAACATCGCTTAGGAGAGTTGGTGCAGCCTGGTCAAGATGCAGATGCTAAAGTGATTTTTTTTGTATTCCTATTCATGGTCTCATCCCTTTTTCCAGACCTTAGCCAATGGGTCAGATTCCAAGTTACAAAACATCTGATGACACAGCCTCTCCCTACCATATTTCCCTACCAGTGAGCGTGAACCTCTCTTGACTTTCTTTACACTGATACTTGACCCTCGCCTGTGAGAGAGGCTGAACAACCAAGTGGGTATTGTTAGATTTTATGCAAATTATTTTTGTCTAGACTACTACTGGGTTTTATTCCCTTCTCAAGACAGTTCACAAACTTGCAGATCAGTGCTGAGCTAGGAGGTGTGATCTGACTCAGAGCTAAACTTTCATTCAAATCTAAGCTTCTGCAGATGTCTGAGAACATAATTTATTACATATGTTGATTGCATTATTTCTGTCATGTCCTTGTTTTAATTCTTGATTCTCTGGAACACAAAGCAGAAATAGCAAAGGATATTTTTGACAGTGCACTTTTTCCAGTGCCATTCTGGACCAGCCAGTAGCAGCTCAAGATACTTCGAAAAAAAAACCCAAATCCTTTTAAACTAAGGAAGCATGAATCCATTTATACAACCATCTGGCATCAAAATCCCAATTCAAGACTTCCCTGGAGAAAGTAACCAGCTGATGTCAGTCAGTCTCATCCTTTCTGTCCCTCATGCCTGTATTGAGTGGGCCATGCGAGCGTGTCTTCCCTTGAGAATTGGCTGCTGCTCACACTGAAGTGCTCCAAAGCCACTTGAAAGGAAATAATGCTGTGCCTGGCTGCTTCTGAAAATTAAATCATTGTAAGGGCTCCCTATCTCCTGTTCTTCCACTAGAAAGCCCACCTGACTCTCCCAGTAGGAGACAGAGGTGTTCTTTGTACCTGAGCAACAAAGTACCAGTCTAAATTAGTGATGGCAGCCCATGTCATCTTCCAGGATTTTTCTTGACAGGGAGGAAAATGCTGGAAAGGATTATGCCCCACACATATTCCCAGTAAAAGCTGCATCTCCCTCAGGGATCAGAGCCTACAATGGCCAGGGGAAACCCCGCTCTGCTGGAAGACCCCTTAAGTCCTGCACAATGGAAAACACGTGGCTAGCAGAGAAGGCAGATGACTTCTGTGGTTTGAGGGTCAGTTGTTCAGTATTTTATTAAATTTAGTAATTGCTGGTGCCAGCTGTGCACATTTCTCTTTCTGGGGGGGCGACTATTTTTTTTGTTGTTGTTTTTTAATTTGAGGTACTTCCAATGTACACATTGTGACAGGCCTGAGCAAAGAGCTACTGCCTCCTTCAGGTGAGGTCAAGTCTGGGGGACAGTGGGAAGGCAGGGGCAGGTTTAATTCCTGGGGTGTCCCTCT